GGTAGCTCGGCACGAACGCCGCCACCAGCAGCGGCACCGCTGCCCCCAGCGCGAACGCTGACGCCGACGCGGCGGCGGCCTCCAGCGGGTTCGGCAGCTTGGCCTCCTCCGGCGCCGGCTCGCCGCCGGCCCGCTTAAGGTCCCTCTGGATCTGGGCGACCTCGATGTCGTACTGGGAGTAGACGGAGACGAACTCGCCGATGGCCATGCTGCAGGCGCCGGCGACGAGGCCGGCGGCGCCGGTGAGAATCATGGTCTTAGCGTCCTGGCGGACGGCGCCGACACCCATCATGAGGGACGCCGTGGAGAGGAGGCCGTCGTTGGCGCCGAGGACGGCGGCGCGGAGCCACTGGGCCCGGCCGGAATAGTCAGTGCTGTCTTCCTGGGACTCGACGTCGACGTCGTCGTTTTTGGGAGCGACTTTGTAGCCGTCAGTGAAGGTGGTCAGTTTGATGGTCTCCATGAAGAAATTTGATTTTTTTTAGAATAAATATATATTTTTTTGTATTAGTTTATGGATGTAATGAATGCAGAAGTGTGGATGCCACACGCCATATTTTAAGAGGTATTTATAGGAAGCGAAAGTAGTTGGTCAAGTTCTTTTGAATATTTCATTTCTTATTCCACTTCCACCAAATACATTTTATTTATTTATTTATTTATTTATTTATTTTTTGGGTGTGTGTCATTTTTCTTATCTTCCATTACATATATAAAAATTAAGTGCACGCAATCGTATATATTTTTTTTAATTTATTTCTCTTTTTGGTCATAGTATATTATAACTTAATATCTATTACATACTATAACTTTGAAATAGACTATCACAAATTATGTTGTTTTCAAGCTTACAGAATATTATGTTTTTACAAATTATGTTATTTTCAAGCTTACAGAATATTATGTATTTACTCAACAGTTTCATGAAATTGAATATTTCCCACTTATCACAGACACATAATTTTTTTTGGTGATTACAAATTGCCCCTTATGTTTAAGTAATTAAATTTATGACCATAAATACATTTACAAACTTTTTAAGTTAGTTTGTGTTCAAATAATAAAATAAAAAATAAAATTTAACAAATGTATGAACATTAAATACATAAGATATAATTAAAAAAAAAAGATTTTAAGTTATTTAATAATATGAAAATTTGAAAAACATTATTTGTCTTAATTAACAAAAAAGTTATTTCTAGATTGAATTTTCTTGCCCGAGTGTCAAACTTATTACTCCGTGGGGGTCCGACACTCGGGTATTACTCCGTTGGGGGTCTTGTTTAGTTTTGTTGGTGTAGTTGGTTTAGTGTGTTGTCCGAGTATTACCCCGTTGGGGTCGGCTCTAGGCGATCTCCGGATCTGCCTCCCAGTTTTCTAGTCTCTGGTTGTACTATTCAGCCTTTGGCTGCTTTTCTTCGCACTTTGTGCGGTTTTCTTAATAAAGTACCTCTATCGTTTCGGGAAAAAAAAAAAAAGATTGAATTTTCTTTTATTAAGTTTATATTAATTTTAAAGTTTAGTTTATATATACATAGCATGTGCTATCGATAATAGATTGAATTTATTAATTACGAAGAACACTTGTAAAATTTTCTTTAGAAAATGAGAGCATATTAAAAATTTGCTAAAACATCAAACATGATTATATTTTTAAAATATTTTAAGAATAAGAAAATAAGCTCTACATGCTTGAAATTAAAAAAGAAATAATCCATTAATACTACCAACTAAATTTATAAGTTTTTTAAATATGGGTTATTATTGAATAACTATCAAAAGAGAATTACTTATTGATGTGACAATTACTGCAAAATGGGTTTGAGTGAATTTTTCGGTTGAAGATGATCTTATGCAAATCAATAAGAGAAATAAAAGACGTATGTTGTCACTATTTAGCATAGGTTAACCATTTTCATGACTTGGAGGTTAATACCTATATCTATATAATTAAAAGAAAAACATTCCATATTTAATAAATTCTCCGCATTTTTCATACTAAATATGAAAATTCATATATATATTTTTTTTAGTTTTATTTCCTCTGCATTGATGTTCAAGGTATAAATACAGTAGACCATATTACCGAGAGATCTATACCTTATTTTCTATTTCAAAGTTTATCATACTAGTACGACGCGCATGAACTACATGGATATTTGAGGAAAAATTAATTGTGCAATAAAGGATGAAAAATAATAAAATTCTTATTGTGAAATAAAAATTATAAATAATTACTGATAAAGTAAGAGAATTTGTAATATAATTTGAAATTTTGTCGAAGGCAAAGAAGAAAAGGGAAAAGATAACTGAAAAATTTTGAGGTAAACGTGAGGAGAAGAGCGAACACGAAGAGATTGAGACGCTAAATTGAAGGAAATCTCTCTAGGGGAGCTTCCAATGGCTGTCGAATATGATCACCCATTCTTTCTTGTCTTGTAGTGTACAGAACCCAACGTGGGCTCTGATACCACTTGTCACAGGGTTAAGTTTTAGCAGAGTCATTTCCGTTCACGTGTATAGTCTTAGGCTTTTAGCCTTATGAATTTCAATTAAGCTAAGTGGGGCCCCTTTTTTTAAAAAAATGGAAAAGAGAATGGATTCTCAAATTGCTCTTTTACGTTAAGTCAAAAATTGAATAATGAATTTGAACCGGCGAATCACTACGATATAATACCGTAGTAATTCGCCAGTTCACCGGAAATAAATGGACTTCCAGAGGGGAAGGAAATATTTAACCACGCCTATTACTAATAAAGTAAAAGAATTTGCAATATAATTTAAATTCTATAAAATACTTTATATGAAATATTATTTATTTTATTTAAGATATATTCTTTTTATAAAAAGAAATAGAATATTCAATTTATTATCCAGTTAATATAACACCCATGAACAATAGGGGTGCATTAAAATAAAAAGAAAATATTTGTATAAAAAATTAATTAAAGAAATTTATATATCTTATCATATAATGATAAAAACTCAAGTATAAAACTATTAATTAAAAAATTAACAAAGTTAATTATTTAGTATAATACCTATGTTTTACACTCGATGTGTTAAAATGATATATTTTAATATTAAACATACACACAAACATTTACATTATCTACAACTCAATAATTTTATTTTAAATTAATTTATATTTTTTTCAGTTTTGATTAATATTTTTTATACAAATTTTCTTCGCTCATCAATTATAATGTCTAATATCTTCAATTTTATATTATTCAATAATTTAAAATATAATGTGTATGGGTGTAATATTCTTTTACTTTCTGAAATATAATAATTATTTTTATTATTTATAATTATAATTTATATTTTTTTATTTTTAATATTATTATAATGTTCAATCTTTTTGTAGTCTTTATTTAAGTTGAGACATAAATTTCAAAGTATTTTTTATATTTATTCTATGTCCATACTTAGTATCTATATATTCTTCTCAATTAAAATAAATATTTTATATATGTTCATATAAATCAATTGTTATTGTTTCATAAGATAATTTGTAGTTTTTTATATTTTTAAATTTAGTTTGATAAATCAGTTTAATTTATTTACAAGGATATATATCATTATTTTGTATTTTATATATATAATATGGATGTCAAATCGAAAGTCGTTCAAATATAATCAATTTGATATATCATATATAAAAAATATAATACAAAAAAAGTTATAAAATTTAAAAAATAAGAAGAAGATACATTTATAATAATTGGTGTATGAATTAAATAAAAAAATAAAATTTAACATATGATCATGTAAGAAAAGAAAACGTAAAATTACGATTCCCTGTGTCGCCGTTCATGGTGCTGGGATGGCTTCGGGCGGCCGATTCTCCTCCGGCATCTTCGCTGCGGCGGTCCTCAGGCGTTCGATTGGCGAGGGTTGCGACCCCAATTTCCTGTCCTAGGAGTTGGGGTGGAGAAGGTGCTCCGAACCTTTTGGTTCTCCTCGACTCTGGTGCGGGGTTTTGGAGTTGGCCGTCGATTGGCCGGGCTGGGCTGTTGTCCTCGACGTCCGGGTGGTTGTGGTCGGCTGGAGGGTTCGGGTTATTGGCTCCGGGCTCCAGTGGGGTCGTTCGGCTGGATGAGGTTCGAACCCCCCGATTCTCTTCTCTTTAGGTGTGCTAGAAGGGGATGCCCGGTGTTCTCGGATTTGGGCCAGTGGTGATGGTCGGATTCGGGGCGGTGGGTTGTGCGCTGGTTTCGAGATTCGGGACTCGTCCTTTGCTAGGCATTTAGGCAGTGGCGGGATTGGCGTTTTGGATTTCGAATCTTGCAGTGGGTTGGTTTGTCCTTATTTTGCTGGTGCTTTGTGCTGGTCTCGGTTACTCTGTTGGGGAAGGGTTGCGCTTGTTCGTTTAGTCTTATTACTATAGTTCTTGTTGTTGTGTTTGTTATCTTTTAGGACTTGTGTTTTTTGTCTGGGCCGTTGGCCTCTGTGAACTCGAGTGTCACCTTATTATCCTGTTGGGATCCGACACTGGGGTATTACTCTGTTGGGGTCTTTTTAATTTAGTTGTTGTTAGTTGTTTTAGTTGGTTAGTTTTAGATGCGAGCTTTATTCTAGCGTTGCTAGTCGGGACTCTAGGCGGTCTTCTGACCTGTCCTCCCACTTTTTCAGCTGTTGGCTGCTGTGTATTCAGTCGTTGGCTGCTGTGTATTCGCACATTTGTGCATTTTGATTTATAATATAATCTGTCGTTTTGGGAAAAAAAAAAAACTGTGAAGCGTGTTACCAAAGAAAAACTGATATCTTAAAAGATTTGTTATCACAATCCGAGATTTGTTATCACAATCAGATCAATTTTGTTAACAAAATTCGAGATTTGTTATTAAAATCNTTTTTTTTTTTTTTTTAAACAAAAGCTTAATATATTAGAGTAGTCTTTTTTCAATGGTTTTTGATTTGACACCAACATTTGATAATATATAAAATAATTCTTCTTTGTGCCAAAAAAAAATAAAATTTGATTATCTATTAATATCAATTTAAGAATAATAAATGCTTAGAAGGGTTCCTTACAATATAAATTCTAAACAAATATAATATAATAAAATAAATAATGTTTTAAAAATTTCATATAAATTTAAACTATTTTTCTTAAGAATATATTAGTTGGTGTAACAATTTAAAGCATCAAATATATTTTATTGAAATGATAACCTAGAATCTGTCGAGCCACTATAAGAATTATTGACTTAGACAAAAAAAATATCTTAATATTCATAACATACAACATCTACATCTATACATATATAATAAGAATTATCATTTAACAAAAATAGTAGCAAAAAAATAGGAGAGAATTTAATGCAATCTATAAATAGTAAGTTTTATTATTTTTTTATTTTTTTCTTTGAAAAATCATACAACATTTAATTTTGCATTAAATTTTTGGCTTTAATTCATTTTATTATTTAAAAATTCTAGCTAAGATCTATTAAG